CATGAAATATATTATGTTTGTGCTCGAAAATAATATTTAATAATATTTCTTTCAATTTACTTTATTTTACAAATATATTTTCCAAAACTTATATATATTTATTTATTAAGATTATCATTACGATTGATTACGCCCATTATTCAAAGGTAGTGGAAATAAATTATTTGTTTGACAGCAATATTAATTGAATTTAATTAATAATCCATACAGCTGTCATCTTTATATTTTTAATGTAAAACTTTTTATAAAACTGAAATATATAGATAATATTTAGATTTTTTAAAATTTTTTCTTTTTTTTTTAATCGTGACAAATGATAATACTCTTAAAATACATTAAGACCTTGATATCAATATTACTCACAACAATCACATAATATTACTTATTACTTTGAGAATATGTGATATCTTACAAAATGTATTAGTATATAAACATTAATATGTTCAGTTGCGTAATACCGAACCCTACGATCAATTATTCCTTTGGTAATATATGCGTGTCTCGTACTCGGTCTTGGTTTATTGAGGTGGTAAGAGAAGCAGGTCAAACAGGTGTTTCGAATATTCGTGAGTACCAACACACGTATATATCGTAAATTTGGTTTTAATCAATCTGCAAAGTCAAAATCTAGAAAGAGGAATTTCAGAATCTAAAAGTAATTTGCATTCGTTTAATTATATTGATATTAAACTTTTGCATAAACTATGTATAATATAACATTTTATATAGTATAATAGTATGGATAATTGAATTATTGATAATTGAAAGGCTTACTTTTAGTTATGTCACTATAAATCAATAGATAAGAAAAAAAGAAAATAATTAATGTAACGAAACGAATGATGTAAGTTAATTAGTTGATAATTGCAAATTTTGCTTTTGAATGTGTTACCATAAATCGATGCAAAAACACTGTTAATTGAATTAGAGAAACCGGTTATGTAAGATCATTTTCACAGCCTATTTATAGAAGTGCTTGTAACTCTAATCTCTTCTTTAATTAAACGTATTCTATGGAAAATAGTAATAATGTAATATAATGAATATTTTTATTCCTTATATATAAGACAAAGTAGTGACAACTATAATTTGCTAATTATAATAAAATCGTATATATTTGTTTACCCTTGGATCCTCCTTTACATTTTTACTCCTATTATTGATTATATAGGGAGTATAATACATTTTCACTTATGTTAATTCTATACAATGAGCTGATAGAATATTGAATTGTCAACTATATATTTTAAATATATATATATATATATATATATATATATATATATATATATATATATATATTTAAAATTATCAAATAAAATTTAAACTTTTAATATGAAATTTTGCAGATTTATTAAATTAAGATAATTTGTTAAAGACATATTTTATATTTATGCAATTAATTTACAATAGTCAAGATCCAATGCTTCATTCCAAATATTTATATAATTTATATTTATATAATTTCATGCACATTATGTTCTTGTTATTTATCATCGTTTAATTAATTATTATAAAATAATTTACAAAATTATATGGTTATGAATGAGAATTATTTTTAATAATATAAAATATTTGTTAATAAATGTGTTAAATAAACGTTTTTAATAAAATGTTTACAAAGTACGTATTATTCTACGAGTGAAGGTTGCTTTATTAATGAATCATCTTTAAATATTTATATCAATTATTTTATGGAGCAAAAACAAACTATGCTTTATTTATATTTTTTTTGCCTTTTTTATTAATTGCTATCTATCTGTACAAAAAGCATATTCATAAGTACAATAAATTTCAGAATTTTATATCAAAAGAAAAAATTTATTAGAAGTTATTATCGTATTAAAATTACTTATATGTTCTAATTTTCATAAATGCTTAGTAATCGATTATTATTATTATTGATACTTTTTGATGTTTACAATTATGATGATACACAAACGATTTACCTTAGTTAAAGCGAATGTATAATATTTACATTTTATATAATTCTAAATTAGAAATTTAATTAACTAATAAATTAATTAACTGCATATTGACGATACATAAACTAAACGTATTTACATGATTGCATAATAATATTTATTATGTAATTACCAATACCTTTATTACTTACTTTATATTTTCTCTTTAATACTAATTTATTGTTATTTTCCTAATATATATATATATATATATATAGTCACCGAACTCGTAAAAACTAATTGTAAAGTAATAGCAGATAATTATTAAATAATTTTATGTGGACAGTTCAAAGTTGTTATTTATATATATTATAAATTTCCTATAGTAATTTTCTGTAGTAAGATATGTTTAACGATATTGTTATTTTTTACAGCAATATAAGAAAAGTATTAAATATAAAAACTTTATGTACGCATAGTGTGAGATAGAAATTTTATAACATATCTCATTTTATCAATAGTTAATTATCATTTTCATATTGTTTTTCACGATTGTGTACTTCGATATGCATGTACAATGATCATAATGATATTACGGTAGGTAACGTAATAAATTCATTAATGTCAATTATAAGATAATTTTTACCAAAATTATTTTAAATTCATGTAATATTATACTAATGCCTTATTAGTTAGATTCGTCAAAAAATATTTACAAATTGACTTCCATAATTATACTTTCTATCTATTTTCTAAAAGGAATAGGAAACGTATGGTAGATGAGTATCCATAGTCAGAAACATTAGAAACTAATTGCAATAAGATATTTGTTGTAAAATTATAAATTATGTTTGCAGAAGACTATGTTGGTCGATCGATCAATTATTATGACTATGAATATTATTATTTCATCAACTATCGAATCTTATGTGCGAACAAGTATGAAATTGTAGTAATTACGAGCCTCTGATTTCAGATATAAATTGCAAGCTTGGCTTTCAATTTTCTAGTTCTTATTATTATAAAGTATATTTTTTAATGAATTTATATTAAAAAAATACTTCATTCTCAATAAGATTTATGAATATTCAAAATATAATTAAAAAGCACATGTAAAACGTATGTAAATTATGAAACGTAAATTGGCATTTTTTTGCAATTTCTGTTTTTTATTTTGAATTTCTTTACATTTTGTTTACATGTGGATATAATTTAAAATCCATAAGTTCTTGTACGCTAATCAATAAATATTTCAGTTGCAATTTTAGAAAAAAATCAATAAACATAAAGATATGGTAAATATAAATATAAAATCAATGATAAATTAAAAAACATAAACAAAAAAATAAATAAACACGTAGCCGACTCGTACCTGAACTTGTAAATAATACCAAATAATGATCCTATTCTCGATCGTTGAGCACGTTGAGCTCTTTTTTTAAATTTAAATATTCGAATGATATATATATATATTATGAACTGTTACGGACGGCTGCCCTGGGAAAGTATATTACGTTCAAGTGTACATTTACTCGTTCGCATGCGTGGGTCAATACCATAGAGCCGCCATCGTTTAATTTTACAGGGTCAGTTACCAACGACTATTGTAATAGTGAGCGCTTATGCGAATCTACTATTATTAATTCTTCGTATCTTCCATTTTGACATTGCTTTATGCACACATTATTACGTATGCAATTATAGACTCGTTGGGTTAAATTAATCGATCGCACGTGCATTTATAAGGCTACAATGTATTATTGCTCAATTAGTGTCTATCATTAAATAATAGAGATGAAATAAGCGAGAAATATAGCTTTATCGCTTAATGTTATATGTTTATAAAACACTAAACATTGTTACTAAATGTTTTTATTTGTTGTGTGTTAAATCAGGAATAATAGTGAATTGAATTTTTATTTTTATTTCTAATATAAGATAATATTGTTTAGTAAAGGTGCTATGTTGATTCTTATTTATTCACACCACCAATCATTTTATTATTCTACGTGTTTTTTTATTTATTTAAAATTATGCTTCTAAATTTTTGTTTAATGAAATTATTCGAAATATTTATTATGCGATAAAAGAAAAAAAATACTACTTAAGAATTGGTATATCAATATTACAAATCGTTAGAAAAATTTATTCATACGTGTACGCGTATGCTTATGGATGTATTTATGCATAATTATTGTGTTTTTTTACTACAAAAAAAAAAATAATTATACATATATATTACCTAATTAATGATTTTCATTATCAATTTGCTTTATATAATCGAGAATTGAGAATGCAAAAATTCATCCCTGATTAGATAGCAATGTTATGAGAAATAAATGTATCGTGCGAGTAAGATAGATGATAAAATTGTCACGTATTAAAATATTAAATGAAACCAAATTTCTGCATTCTGCATTCCTG